GGCAGAGGATTGGCAGTCGTCGCGTCCAATCAGCAGAGGCCTGGGACTCGCCTCAGCCAATCAAGAAGAGCCAGGTACAATCCGTCCGGAGGAGGCGTGTGACGCAAGAGGTCCGTCAAAACAAGGTTACGGAATGCCGCTGGGGACAAACTGAGTCAGGCGCGGGGCTGCGTGGTGTGATGAAAAGTAATCCCTTCAGTTTTCATCCTTGTCAAACGAAATTAACTTTAGACTTGGAAACTACGCCTTTGCGCTCTCCGAATAGAAACTGGCCCGAGGAGTGCCGGAGGCAAAGCACGGGGACGCGCCTGGTGGGTATTCCCGGCGTAGCGGGGTCTACCCCTTCATCCTGCTGTGCCTATGAGCCATGCCACTGCCTCCGACCCTGCGTCCCGAAGCTCACTGGCATTTCCTATGACTGCTAGATACGGAGAAGAAAAAGGAAGCAGGAGCATGACTTCTAGGTTGACCCAAGTGGCCACCTTTTCTATATTTCTAAAGGCATCCAACTGAAATTCCCATCCATGTTTGTATCGTCCCCAGAGGTCCCCATAATTTTCCCAAGAAACAAGACTCCCGGGTTGTCAAATTCCCCTAGATCATGGAGTTAGACATTGTCCCTCAGAGGGAGATAAACAGTTAAGTTGAGTGGGTTGAGTCAACTGAGGCATGCAAACGCTATCAACAACCATTCTGGGGGATTCTTGACTAGCCTCTAACTCAGAGATCCGACCGTCCCTAATTCTTCTGTGGGAGGATATCACCATGTCCAACCTATTCTGGGGACTTAAACTGCTTTAGAATTAATTGGACTGGGCTGTGAGATGTCTTAGGACACTCAAGCTCAGCTGTCATTACTGTTTTTGGGCTGTCCTGGAATTAGTTCTATAGACCAGCTTGGCCTAGAACTCACAGAGTTCCGCCTGCCTCTGCCTCCCAAGTGCTGGGATTAAAGGCATGCACCACCACTGCCCGACTCCCAGCTACTGCTTTTAAAAGTCATGTACAGGTAATGGTCCACACCAGCAATTTCTGCTTTCTTAAGGCAGAAGCAAGAGGACCCTACAAATTCAAGGCCAGATTAGACTACATAGCAAGGACACCAGGCAAGTTCCGGCGACACAGTGAAGCCCTCTTTCAGCAAACAAATAGTATAAAGGCCAAATTGTGGGATGCCCGTGGAAGAAATTCCTCACCAATAATAAACTTTTACAGCATTTCCTGGGCTATGGAATAGTGAGGACGTACTTGTAATGGCAGTAATCCAAAGATAGAGGCAAGAGGATTAGGGGTGCAAGGCTAGTTTCTGCTACATAGCAAGTTCCAATCTAGCCAGGGTTGCATGAAACCCTGTTTGAAAACAACAGCAACAACCGCCAAAAGCCAAGCTATGTGGGATTGCAAACCTAACACTCAGGAGACAGCAACAGACAGATCTGTGTGAGTTAGTGAGTTCCAGGCCAGGGAAAGCTACACAGTAAGACCTTGTCTCAAAAAAAACAACCCCCCCCCAAAAAAAAAACCCAAAGCAAAAATGTCTTTTCAAAAAGGTGAAGAAAGCTTTCAGGATGGCACAGCAGGCCGGGTCCCTGCTGCCATGTGTGAGCACCTGAGCCCCACCCTTTCAGGATGGCACAGCAGGCCGGGTTCCTGCTGCCATGTGTGAGCACCTGAATCCCATCCCTGGGACTCATGGTGGAAGGAAAAAGTGGCACCCAACATCTATCATCTTCACTCATGGACTGTGACACACACACAACAAATTTCTGCACACATAAGAAATGGATATAGCTATTTTTATGAAACTCAACTGCTAAAGCATCTGTTTAGCACATGCAAGCACCTAGCAGGAACAAAACCCCAAGTTTAACCCCAGTATCTCCAAAAACCAAATATTCTCTGGGCTGAGTCTATAAGTCAATAGATAAGCACTGCCTAGCATACACACGTCTAAGAAGCTCTTGGTTCACAACACACACACATGCACACACGCACACATCCATGTCTGTGTGCTCGCTCTCTGATTTCTCTCAATGAAAGCAAGTGAGTAGAACTTACTTCATGAAAGAACCATGGTGCGGGAGAATTATCCGTATTCTGTCAATCTGTCAATCATATTTTAATAAAACGCTGATTGGCCAGGCAGGCAGTATAGGCAGGAAAGCCAGACAGGAAGTAGAGGTGGAGCAAAGAGACTGGGAGTATTCTAGGACGCTCCCTCCGCATTCCTGCGCAGACCACCGAAGAGGCAACATGTAAGCTGTCACACTGAGAAAGGTACTGAGCCCATGTGGCTAACACAGATCAGAATAATGGGTTAAGATAAGTCATAAGAACTAATAAGTAGCCTGACCTAATGGGCCAATCAGTTTATAGCCTTATGGAGTCCTGTGTGTGATTTTTCGTTGGGACTTGCCGGCTGTGGGGTACTGGGCGGGACAGATACCCCAACAAGCCGGCCCTCATGTTACAGAACCATGAGGTGGAGGCAGATGGATCGGTAGTTCAAGGCCATTCTCTGCACCATAGTGACTACATAGCCTGGGCTACAGGAGACTCTCTCGAAAAAATCAAACCATAAAAGGGGCAGGCAGGAGAACACAGGCACTTGGTATCCATACTCCATGGACTCCTATATCAAAATAGGAAATACCTAATTCAAAGGATCTCTGACATCACAGGTTCTAAGATTTAAATTTTCACACACAAAGCTAAGTGCTAAGAGACTTAAACAGTTCCTATATGGAAATCTCTACATCAAGAGCTCATAATTCTCATAATTTAAGAGACCTCAGGAGTTAAAGAGCTCGAGATACATGGAATAAATAAGTTACTTTTGGTTTTGTTGAGCTAAATTCTCACTCTGTAGCCCAAACTGGCCTTGAAATTGTGATCCTCCTGTCTCAGTGTTCCCAGTACTGGGGATAGAGAAGGGTGTCACCACACCCCACTGAAGAGCCTACTTTATTGCTGGACGGTGGTGGTGCCTTTAATCCCAGCAGTCAGGAGGCAGGGTCAGGCAGATCTCTGTGAGTTCAAGGCCAGTCTGGTCTACAGAGCTAGTTTCAGGACAGCCACAGTTACAAGAGAAACCTTGTCTAGGAAAAAAAAAATAAAAAGACCGAACATATAAAACAAAACAAACAAAAAACTAAACTGCAGTCTGTGAGCCTCTGAGATGAGCCTTAGGAAGTCAAAATTTAAAGATCCAAACCAGGTGTGGTAGTGTTCACACCTTTATCCCTACAGGAGGCAGCCGAGGCAGGCTGATCTCTGAGTTCAAAGCCAGCCTGCTCTACACAGTGAGTTCTAGGCCACCCGGGCTACATAGTGAGACCCTGTCTCAAAAATAAAAAAGTTCTGGGGATCTGATGAGTGATAGAACATTTGCGTGTGTGAGGCCTTAGGTTCAACGTCCAAAACCACAACAAACAGGGGAAGTGTGAAGCCAGTGGGAAAGATGCCTCAGTGGGTAGAGGTGCCAGCTGCCAGAGCCTGGCAGCCTGAGTTCAGTTCCTGGAAAGCACGCCAAGGTGGAAAGAGAGAACTCACTTGAACATTGTCCTCTGATGTCCAGAGGTGCACTGAGCGCCACACATGCACCCACACATGGTAATTTTAAACAATTTTAAGCATTTTTTAAAAATTTTTATGTACATAGATAGCTATTTCTCTCTCTCTCTCTCTCTCTCTCTCTCTCTCTCTCTCTCTCTCTCT